CTATTTAATCTTTTAAAAACTTTTTAGTACAGGTCTGTCGTACGTAAAGATTACATTCTAAATGAGGAGTTGATACATGGTACACAATACCACAATTCTTTTTACATCCCCTTCTCCCTTTCATCCAGGCTACATTTTCCCTCTCTCCCTCTTCCATCTCTTCTTTCTTTTCTCCTGTTGTCTTTTATTTGGCTCTTAATTTATATTTTGGGTTTGTCACATAAGAGAAATGATGCAATATTTAAACTTGTGTGTCTGTACTTTTTTTTTTCTTTTGTACTGGGGATCGAAATCAGGACCTTGTGTTTGCAAGCGTCCTCCCTTTCCTATGTACTAAAGCTTTGTTTCCATTTTTTTCCTTCTATTTTAAATTTTTTCTTTTGCTCCTTTCCTTTGTCCCGCACTCCCTGCTTGTTCCCCTTCCCATATGAACACTTTTTTCCCATTACCCAACAACCATTATACATCTCGGTCCTTATTTCCACAGTTTCTCACACCAGAGAAACAATGCAGTATTTAAACATATGTGTCAGATTTATTTCACTTAACAGTAAAAGACCCATCCATTTAGCTATAAATGTCTGAAACCCACCCTTCTTTATGGGAGAGTAGTACTCCACTGTATGAAAAAATCCACACATCTTCAACCACTCATCAGTGGATGGGCGTTTGGGCTGTTTTCAACATTTAACTATTACAAACTGCTGCTGTACACATGGGTGTGCATATATCACCATGGTATAACGTTTTTAGTTCTTTTAGGAAGATACCAAGAAGATGTACTTCTGGGTCAAAAGGAACCTCTCCCACAGTGCTGGGATTATACAGTGGGTACATGTCACTACGCTTGACTAGTACCACTTTTAAACCCATCAAGTATTTTAATATAAGCGAACTGAGAATCAATCCTTAAAGATAAGACAAAAAAAAGGAGCACACGTTTTTTAGCCTTGTATTAGATGATAGATATTTATTTCCAGTTTTAGGTTATTTCAAATTTAGCTACTATGAATATTCGTGTATAAGTCTTTATGGATCTATGCTTTCATTTCTCTTTGCTATGCACCTGTAAGTGGAATTAGTGGGTCATGGGGCAGAGCATGTTTAACCTTATTTAAAAACTGTAAACAGTTTTTAAAAGTGGCATCTTCTTTTTTTATTCTCGGGCTATGAATGAAATTCTAGTTGTTCAAATTGCTTATTAGCGAAGGAATTAAGAATATGCCACCCCGGCCTATTGACAATTTTGAATTAACAGAATTTACAAAACAGAAGATGAAAGATCGTTTTGACTTTCTTTCGGGTTTTTTAAAAGGTGGAGTTTAAATTCCTATGCAATAGATGCTCTCTATATTAGAATCAAAGTAACTATAGTATGGTAATCTTATCAAAGTAATCTTATTATCATGGATGGGAAGTTAAAGCCAAAACAATTCTATGTAAACCTTATAAAAATGACTCATATCTTACCCTCAGCTCATAATTAATTTCTTTTCCACAATTTATTATTCTTGTCTAATCCAGGGTATGAAAGCTGAACTTTGTCTTTGGGTCTTTAAGTCCTTATTAAGGCACCTGTCCATTAAATAAATTTATAAGCTCTCTTTCTGTCTTATGTTAATTTAATGCTTAAATCCAGCTGAGAAGCTCTACAGGGTAGAGGTAAAATATTTCCTCCTTTCTACTAGCATTTAATATTATCAGTCTGTTTTATTTTTTGGTCATTCTGTTAGATATGAAATTGATATCTCATTACATTTCTAATTTAATTTGCATCTCCCTGATGTTGAGCCTCTTTTTTTATGTGCTTACAGACATGTTTTGTATCAAGATGTCTCCCCAAAGCCTCATGTTGTCATAGGTGGGCTTTTTCGGAGGTAACTGGATCTAGGGTGTGTGATGCTGGATTAATGGTCTAATATCCGGACTAAGTCTACTAACTGGGGTAGTATGTTCTGGGTGTGGATAACGGGAAGGCACATCCTACACGTGATGTAGCCTGGATGGCACATAAAGGGAGGCTTTGCTGCTGCTGTTTGCTGCTGCTGCCGCCTCTTCACTGCTTCCCTGATTGCTGCCTTTTGCTCACCCTGCCATGGAGTATTTCTCCTGTGTGTTGGCCCTCTGCCATGCTACCTTGCCTCTGTGGCAGCCAATGAGGGAGTAAAACCTTTACAAATTGTGAGCCAAATAAACTTTTCCTCCTCTAACTTTGAGGGCTGGGTATTTTGTCTCAGCAACAGGAAAAGTAACTAAGACATTGACCATTTTTATATTTTCCTTTGTGAACTGTCTTTTTAAAAATGTTGTCCAGGACCAGGGATTTAGCTCAGTGGATCCTCTTCTGTCTGCCTCCCAAGCACAAGGGCCTGAGTTCCATCCCCAGTACCAAAAAAAAAAAAAAAAAAAAAAAAATGTTGTCGAAGCCAGGTGTGGTGCCAACCTGTAATCCCAGCACTCAGGAGGCTAAGGAATTTGGATTGCTGTGAGTTCAAGGTCAGCCTGAATTGCATAGTAAGGATCCTGTCTCAAAAAATTTTTTTTTGCCAGGCATGGTGGTGCATGCCTGTGAACCCAGCACTCTGGAGGCTGAGGCAGGAGGATCGCTGTGAGTTCGAGACCAGCCTGGGCTACATAAGGACTTCCATGTCAGTCTCAACGACATAGTGAGACACTGTCTCAAAACAAAACAAAAAACAAAAACAAAAACAAAAAATTTTTGTCCCCTTTAAAAATTGTTTTTTTAAATTATTGAGTTGAAGTTCTTTAAATATTCAGCATACAAGTTGTTTTCAGATTTATGTATTGGAATTGTTTTTCCCAGTCTGTGGTTTGCTTATTCTTTTCCAAATTCATGTCCATTTATTATACATAGCTAAGTTAGATAGAAATTAATCGGCAGGCAGACAGGGATTGGGCCTTTGAGTGAGTCAATACAGAAGATAAGAACTCATCAAAATTGTTGCTGGAGGCAAATCTGAAGAGAGCCAGGCCTCAAGATGGAGAAGCAGCAGCCAGTCCTGCCAGCCTATCGTAGAGATAAACAGCAACTTGAGGTTGTACTGTAATCAGCACCCCTGGTTCTGGCGCGCCCAGACAGTCATCGGGCACGTTAATGGGTGACCAGAACATACGGACTCATTCCTTCCCCAAAATGCCTTTTTCTTTCTATTTTAGAAGTGCATAGGTCAGCTAAAGTTAATGACACTAGCAATAAAAACCCTTGCCATGTTTCTCATTCCCCTATTGGATTAATATAGCTAAGCAACCATACTTACAATCCTATCGACGGATTGCACTATGACCCACACTGTACCCATGTTGTGATTTTCCTGCATAAAATATTCTTGGAGTCTAAGAGGCTGAGGCAGGAGGATTGCTGCAAGTTGGAAGCCAGCCTGGACTACATAGTGAGACTCCATCTCAAAAAAAAAAAAAAAAAAAAAAAAAAAACATCTTGGAGAAATAGTCTGACCCTTCTCTCTCTCATGAGGTTTCTTTTTTGTTCGTCTGTTTTTGTTTTGTTTTTGTTTTTTTGAGACAGGGTCTCACTATGTAGTTGGGAATAACCTGGAACTCACTATGTAGCCCAGGTTGGTCTCGAACTCACAGTAATCCCTCTAGCCTCAGCCTTCGAGTGCTGTGATTACAGGCATGCGCCACCACGCCCAGCTTCTCATGAGCTTTCCTTTAGTAAACCTTTCCTATTCTTACCTCCTTTGTCCTTTAATATTTATTCTTTGATATTCAGGGGACAAGAATCCAGTACATCTAACACATTGAGTTACTTTGCCCTATCACATTTTATTATAAAATTATTCATTTTGGGCCAGGGATTTAGCTCAGTGGTTCTGCTGCCTGCCTTGCAAGCACAAGGTCCAGAGTTTGATCCCTGGTATCAAAATAAAATTTTTCATTTTGATGAAATTTAATTAATTTTTAGAAGTTGTAATTTTGATTTCTCTGTTATATCTAATAAATATTTACTTTTAGGTCATGAACAAAGTATTCCCATATATTTTTTTCCTGTGCTTGCTTAATATTTTATCTTCTACATCTTGACAATGCTAATTTTAAAGACATGTTTTCAAATGCAAGCACCAAAAAATGTTCTTTCTAATTTATAGATGCTCTCAATGCCTCAGAGAGGTTGCCAAGTGCTGTATATTCTAAGTGGGTAGAATACTAATCACAAGATTTTTTAAAGCTCAATTTGAATGGCAACTTATGTTGTGTTTTTAAATTGGTACAGAGCCATAACCTAGACCAATAATTAAACGCTTAGTAGAGCACATTCATCATCATTCAAGTTGTTAAAAATGGGTAAGTATATTTGACATAGAGTGATTTTGTTCTGCAGGGTCCCTGATGCACCTAGAAGTCCTTAATGCCCAGCTACACTTAACGACCACGCCACCTACCAGTTTTTCAGTCAGAGGGCTGAACAGTGTGTTAAAGGAAAAGATCTTTGAACTTTTCTACCCATGATGATGGTGATGATTTTTTTTTTTTCCTGTACTGGGGCTTGAATTTAGAGATCACTGAGTTGTCAGTCCCCAGCGTTTTTAATTTTGAGAGTGGGTCTCACCAAATCGCCCAGGCTGCTTTTCCATTTAAGGTTCTTCTGCCTCAGACCTCTGGAATAGCTGGATTTCAATTTCAAGCCGAGTGAATTTGAAAGCACTGGGTGGGGGAAGGGATAGGACAATTTTAGTACATATATTTTATAATAAGATGTGATTGTGTAAAATATTCAGAACAGGAAACAGTCGCATGGATTGTATGTTTTCCAATTGTTGGCTCATTCTTTCTGCAAGAGGAATTCAATTAATTCTTGACAGGAAGTTGTAGCTTTTCTTTTTAATGAATAGTTGATTCTACTATATGGTTTTGTAAGACTCCTCGCTTGATTGGAAATTAAACATGAAACTTTTCATTGGGTATTTTCGAAACTACCGCAGGGAATCAGCTGCCAGCTTACTGCACTGTGGAAAAGTGTAAAGAGATTCCGGGATTGGAATCGAAATGCAAATTTCAAAGGTCAAGCGGAGCGGTGCCTCACGTTTTGCAGTGTCTGAGCTCAGTGCAGGCGGAGCAGACAAAGACCCGGCCAGAGGAGGCAGACTTTGGGACTCATCGATTCTGTTTTCCCGAAATAATTCTAGTCATGCCTGAAATGCCAGAGGACATGGAACAGGTAAGAGCTACTGATTCAAGAAAAGAAGCATTCTGGAGTAAGAATTGCTTTGAAAGCATTCCGGCAGGCGCCTGGTAAAAAAGCAGAATGGATGTGTAAAGAAAATACTAGAAACGGGCGGCGTTCATTGATTTAAATCTTAGGGTCCCGAAGAATAAACCAACTTGAGTTACTGACCCGGGAGTCGACTAAAATGCAACACAACAGCAGTTTCATTTACCACATTAAACGCAATGTTGTGTGTGAAGGGTCTCTGCATGTTGGGATTTTTATCGATAGTCGTATGTTCCAGCTCTTGTCTTTATGTGGATCGAATGTGCTAACCTAACTTTTGGTTCCAGGCTGCTCCCTTGGCTACCAGGTGAAGTTGCTAACATCTGCGGAAAGGATGGCGTTTAATTAATATGGGCTTTTATCCTCATTAAAGAAAATGATTAAAACTGTACTCAAGCATATGCTGGAGAACTTTTTACCTACAAGTATCAAATCAAATTCTTAAATGGTAGGCAAGCTAGCTTTTGTTCCTCTTTTAATGCTGCTTTGAGAATCAAAATGCTAGTTGCTTAAATCCTTGAATCTTCCTCTTGAAAGCGATTTTTAATTCCTGCATTTTAAGTGAGGAGGGTGAGGAGTTTGGGATCTGCTCCCTGCTCCTCCGTTTTACTCTGTTGTCTCCACTTCAGGCTGGTTTTGTGCTCCGCCTGTCTCCTCTGGACTCCCCCGAGGAATGCTAAATTTTATGAACTGTAACAGTCAGGACTTTTTTTTAATCATAAAAAATGAAGACCCCAGGCGGCCTTCTGTTCCTGTAGTGAAGAAACCTTTATGTTTACCTGAATAAGGAAATAGGCTCGTTGGGGGGTTGGGGAACAGGGAAAGTCCGGAGTCTTTGACAATGGAAGACCTTTTTAAAAGATTTCTTCGTCTTTACCATCAAAATAAACCACCAAGGATTATGGAAACAGGCCTTCGGAAATTCCACGCCGAGGTCGCGTTTGCGGCCAACTTCTGAATCTATTATGAAATGTCTGGAGGGGAGCACTCGGTCTGCTGGGTGAAAAGTGGGCGAATCCTACACGGTTTGTGCAGGGGTTTATTATTATTATTATTATTATGTTTTTCTCTTTTTTTACTTCTCCAGCTTGGCTGGCGGGGACGCCTCTTAAACTTTTGAACTGTAGTGAATTCAGTAAGCGGTAGACAGCACCGTCACCTTCGGTTGTTGATTTACTTCAGCGCCCAGCCTCGAGCTCTCCCTGCGCTTCTGGGTGGGGTTTGCTTCGCTTCCCGAGGTTTGGGCCGCGACCCTGAATCAGGGATTCTATTCTCTTCGGGTGGTTTTGACGCCTATTAAATTCACCAAAAAATAGTTTCGGGCTCTCCTACCACCACAGTTTCTCCTGCGGTGAAAGTCTGAGAATCTGCATTTTCAATAGATACCCAGACAATTCACCTTAATCTCCCTACGCTTTTTTAAATTAGTTGAAAATAGTTTCACATTAGAATTTCCCAACTACTGTTTTTAGCTTGATCGTTCTTTTGGTATCAGGGACTGAACTCGGGTCCCTGCGCTTGCAGGGAAGGTGGCGAAACCAGTGAGCTAAATACCCGGCACAATTACAGTTTTTAGGATCCCAGAAAAACAAATAGTTCCTGATGTGTTGATGACTCAGATGGCAGCACTTCTATTTTTATTCTTTGTCTCTAAATCTTTCAAAACCCACACCTAAATTCTCTAGATGACCATCTGTTTTCCTTTTCCTTTCCCTCTTACCATCCATCACTTCAAAAGTGTTTTATTCTACTTTATATATTACATGCTCAGTGCTTTTTACGCACTGGGCACAATCTGCAAACTTGAAGCTATAGGTTATTCAATTCAGTCTTTCCCTAGTTAAAAAGCAAAAAAACAAAACAAAACAAAAAAAACACGCTCCCAATCACAGCTGCAGTCTTTGCTTGCTTTGAGGGCTTTTGTTGTGTGTAGCGCTTTAAGATCTGGCGCGTGGGCTAAGCGTCGAGAGGGCGCCCGCCCCCAGTCTAGGGCGTCGTCGAAGCGTAGCCAATGAGCGTCCTGGCGCTAGCGGCGGAAACCGGAAGCGTTGA